TAAATTGTAAATTACATTGTTCTCATATGGATGTAGAAGAGTCTTGAGAAGAAATTTCATACCAGATTAACCAATAATAATATACAGACAGATTTGTTTTCACATTCTTAAATAATGTGGGACTATTGGATAGGATAAACAAACTTAAAACTTTAAAATAATGAATTTATGGGTGGTTTTTTTTTATCTTGTTTAACATTATCATTTCTGTATGATGTGAAATTTTGACTTGTAGCTATTATTCTTAACAATTTTAAATAAGGTTTAGTTAGTGTTTTGTTAATGAATGTGTTCAAATGACATTAATATTATGTGTTGGGTTTCAGGTGGACAAAAAAATAAGATGTATTTTGTATTATAGAAATGAATTAAAATCTAATTTTTACAATTGAAAAATTAGTTAAAATGAAATTTTATAAAATGGCTTTAGAATGTATCCAAAGATTTGAAGGATATTATGTTTGATTATTTTACAGTGCGAGAATAAAAAGAGAGAAGATGGGATTTGGAGAGTTGGAAATCCTGAAAGCAATGAACTTATATCAGCATTAGCAGCAGGAATGAAAGCAAAACTGATAGTGGAAGTGACTTCTTGTGTGTCCCTTTATACCATAGCTCTAGCAGTTGCTGCAAGACAAACTGCTGGCAGATTCCTTTGTTTTATCCCTAAATCACTCCTTCGTCAATCCAAAGAAGCCATCATGAACTCAGGTCTTGCAGACCAAGTAGAATTTAGAACAGAAGATCCCTCCAAGCTACTATCTCTCTATCACAACATTGATTTCTTTCTAGTTCATTGCAGGGATGACAACTACACAAGGTTGCTCAACTTGGTAGATGTTAGTATGAAAAGATCAGTAATAGTAGTGGCAAAGCATGTGCTTTGTGATAAAAAAGGGCTGAGATGGCATATAAGAGGAAAACATGAACAACCAGAAGTAAGATCTCTAAGCCATCTTGGGAATGCCATGGAAGTTTCAAGGATTTGCATGAATGATGACAGTGATAAGAAAAGAAGAAAAAGTTTATGGATTGCAAAATTTGATGAGGAGAGTGGTGAAGAACATATTTATAGAGTACCTCAGGTTGATTGATTCATATATATATATATATCAGTAATTGACATGCTGCTAGGAAATAATAACATGCAGAGTCTCAAAACTGCATTAGGATTAGTCAGGAACCATATGAAGCATGTCCTGTTTAGCAGCAAAGTATAATTGCAAACTATTGTGTGCTTAGATTCTAAATCAATAATAATTTCTCAGCATTTAACTTATATCTTTCCTGTGCTTATGATATCTGTAATTTGAAATTATTCAGATATCTTTAATTGTTAAACCACTCTAGAAAGATTCATCACACATGTAGTATAATGATTCCTAACAACAATAAGACTCCAGCCTAATTACATAAGAATTTCAAACCACTTTTTCTTTAAACTTTTAAGACAATGGATTAATTTATTTTCTATCTTTTATACTTTATTTTTTCATTTTTACCTAATATAAAACTTATACTCACTTGAAATTTTACCAATAATAATTCAAAACACTAAAGTATTTAATAGTGACAAATAAGAAAATGTTTAAATATATAAAGTTAAATTCTTCATAAAATATATTATAAGAAAATATGAAATAAAAAAATCAAATAGAATGTTAATATTATTGATTCTCATATATATATATATATATATATATATGAGAATCAATAATATTAACATTCTATTTGATTTTTTTATTTCATATTTTCTTATAATATATTTTATGAAGAATTTAACTTTATATATTTAAACATTTTCTTATTTGTCACTATTAAATACTTTAGTGTTTTGAATTATTATTGGTAAAATTTCAAGTGAGTCTAAGTTTTATATTAGGTAAAAATGAAAAAATAAAGTATCAAAGATTGAAAATCTATTAATCCATTGTCTTAAAAGTTTAAAGAAAAAGTGGTTTGAAATTCTTATGTAATTAGGCTGGAGTCTTATTGTTGTTAGGAATCATTATACTACATGTGTGATGAATCTTTCTAGAGTGGTTTAACAATTAAAGATATCTGAATAATTTCAAATTACAGATATCATAAGCACAGGAAAGATATAAGTTAAATGCTGAGAAATTATTATTGATTTAGAATCTAAGCACACAATAGTTTGCAATTATACTTTGCTGCTAAACAGGACATGCTTCATATGGTTCCTGACTAATCCTAATGCAGTTTTGAGACTCTGCATGTTATTATTTCCTAGCAGCATGTCAATTACTGATATATATATATATATATATATATATATATATATATAT